CGGGGCCGGGGCCCTGCCCCCGGCCTCCCCCTCTCTGGGGCTCGGGGTCGCCTACTCCGCGCAAACACCAGGATTTCGGACCTCGGCTCAGGCCTCGGTGCCCCCTGACCCCCTAAGAGACTTCCAGATCTCTCTCTCTCTCTCTCTCTCTCTCTCTCTCTCTCCACGCTTTGAAAGCTAAACTGCTGAGAATCAATTCTTCATAAATAAGTTGGTTGTCACCGTAAGGGAAGAATTATAAATGTGTACTGATGGAGGCCTGGCATGAGGCCAAATTGGCGGCGAGGGTCTGTTATCAGGAGTAGACTGTTCTTGTCCTGCGCGCTGTGTGGACACACTGCTTTGGGGCAGGTGTGGGGTGGGTGGGAGACCTGCAGGTGAGAGTCGCCCACCTGAGACACCCATCAGGCCCTCCCAGAATTGCCGGACGGTGGTGGGCAGGTGTTCTCTGACCAGGCCTACACTGCTTGAGTGAACCATCCTTCAAAACACTCAGTTCTTTTACTTCCATGCTGCAACCTGACTTACTCAATGGGCCTCCCCCGACTGTGCCATTGTTAAGGAGGCGTGTTTGCTGGCGGACACGCATGCATCGGCCAGGAGAAGGGCATCGCCGGAGGTGTGTGCAGAGAAGGCAAGGCTGCCTGTGACGGCCACCCACTCCCTCGTTGAGCAGAGTCCATGGGCCGGCAGTGCTTTCTTACACCTGATCCAACTCTGCCCTGCCTCCCGGTCTCCTAAGAGGCAAGGGTAGTACTCCCTGTGACCCCCAACTTTCAGTCACAGGAAGGCCTCTGTGCATGAGGGGGACCACCATCGATCTGCATAGACTGCAAGTGGGCAGAGACGTAGGAGTCGCTGGTGTCTCTGCTTGAATGAGGAGGAGGAGGAAATGTGTTTCTGGCCTCGGAATTCATCAGGTGCTTGGCCAAAGAATTAATGTTACAGATGGCAATTAGAACAGTTCATTAGTCATCCAACATTCGCCAAGTGCTTACTGTGTGCCACTGACTGTGAGACGCTGAGGAGACATCGGTGGGCAAAGTCTGACTCGGTCCCCACCCTTACCGGGTGCATTCTCTGATGTAATGTGGTTGAACCAACATTGTGCAGGGCCTCACTTGAACCACACAGCTGAGACCCAGAAAGGAAATTTAAAGAGACTGAGTAGATGGAATAGTACAAATTTGACACACCTAAGCTGATGCGTTTGACACTAGATTAGAAGAAACCTCGAGCTCTCAGAATTGGTCACTTCGACTTTGGGCACAGTTTTAACAAACTTGGTTATCTGGCTCTCTCTCCAGCGTTGTGGCCAAGAAGCAGCAAATTAGAGGGAGGGTGATGACGGAGGATTCCTGAGAAAAAGTGGAATGCAAGCTGATTCTAAAGAGGAGGCACCAAAACAGCACAACAGCCTGGATTTCTTGGACACAAGGCAGTGTTTCCATGTATGTTCTATACCAGTGGTTCCCAACGTGGGGCACGTGCCCCACGGGGGGCAGTTTGACTTTTAAGGGGGGCAATTCGAGAATAAGTTATTAACCGTGAATTTTTTGCGTTTCTTACGGTTCTAGGGGCCTCATATACAGTATATATATGTGTGTGTGTGTATATATATATATATATATA